TGGAGCATTTTAGAAATTAGAGAAATTGTTCCTTAATTATTATTACTTATAAATTGTTTCTTAATCATTATAGATTTATGTATTATTAGAAATAGGAAAATTTAGATGTGATTTTTAATATCTTCGTTTGATGCTTGCAAAATTAAGTTGTAAAGAGATGCTAATTTAGTACAAACAAATGTACATAAATATTTGTAAGATTTCTACATGATGGAGATCATATTGGTTTCCTCGAAGTTTAATTATCATCTGAATGAAATTTTTCCTAATTAAAATTAATTCGCGTTATTAAAGTATTTGAAGTGTCTATACAAGGTATAAAATTAAATCTTCATTTTCTAGTTTATGTAATTTAAATTAATAGTTATCAATTCTGACTTGAATTAATTTAAATAAGTAATCACTAGCTTATACTTAAACTAACAAGAATTATTGATTTATAGCTCCAATTAATTTACATTTCATTTTAATAAGAGTCATTGATGCACACTTAAACTTAAATAACTTAACCTTAAACTTAAATAAAAATTCACATTAATAAGAATCATTGACACACACTTAAACTTAAATAACTCTAACTTAAACTTAAATAAAAATTCATATTAAAAAGAATCATTGATGCACACTCAATCTTAAATAACTTAACCTTAAACTTAAATAAGAAACTTCAAGCAATGCAGAATATATTAATTATAAAAATACTCTATAATTTATTATCTCCTGTCAATTTGCATTATAAATTACAAACTACCCCATACATTTTTCTTTAAAAAAAAAAAAATAAAAATCCTTTAGACCGCCATAACTGTACAGCTGCACTCGTAAACACAAAATGGCAGTTGCTAATAAAATCTGCATGGTACACAAGTAGCACTATTTCGATCTATGTAAATTCAAAGTGTACGTGTTGGTGTTTTTCACAGAAAATGCATAGATTTTATGCAAGAGCCAAGAGCAATACAATTGTAAATGAGTGCTTTGTCTGAGGTTCATAGTCTACGCGTTACGTAAGGAAAGTTGCTCTGGAAAACGTACGATGTCAAAGAACGATAAAAGTCAGCGCAGTCATTAACTGACATCGACCTCGACGGATTACAAACCGAGATTTCTTTCTCTTATTAGTTTGTTAAGGTTCAGCAACTCATCGATCACTGCACGATCGACCGATTCTAGTGATGGGTATTTGGAAGATGGAAATTTGGGCAGTCGAGAATTTCCATATTTGGGAATTGGGGAACTTGGTAATTTGGGGACTTGAGAATTTAGGGATTTGTGGAATTCAACATTTGACAGTTTGGGAAATTTTAACACTTACAGAGTTTCGGATTTCAGAAGGTTTTTATTTCAGGAAATCCAGACAAGATGGAAGTAGATTACACAATGAAGTACGCAATTTTCAAGTATTACGTACTAGGGATCGAATATCCCAGTATATCTTAGCTTTTCTCAAGGGCATAAATTCTAGTTATATGGCAAGTCACATATAAGGAGAATGAGTAAAGCTTGCTGAAGTTAAAAATATAATAAAAGTCCAATAAAATTAGAGCTTGCAAGTTTGGAAATTTGAAAGTTGAAAAATTGAGAAAGTGGAAATTTCAGAAATTGAACAGTTGAAAAATTAAAGAACTGGAAAAATGGAAAATTGAAAAGTGGAAGAATTGAAGAATTGAAGAATTGAAAAATTGAAAAATTGAAGAACTGAAGAATTGAAAAATGGGAAAGTTAAAAACTTGAAAACTTGAAAAATTGAAAACTTTGAAACTCGAAAACTTGAAAACCTGAAAACTTGAAATCTTGAAAACTTGAAAACTTGAAAAATTGAAAACTTTGAAACTCGAAAACTTGAAAATTTGCAAACTTGAAAATCTGAAAACTTGAAATCTTGAAAACTTGAAATCTTGAAAACCTGAAACTTGTAAACTTGAAAACTTGAAAACTTGAAAACTTGAAAACTTGCAAACTTGAAAACTTGAAAAATTGAAAACTTTGAAACTTGAAAACTTGCAAACTTGCAAACTTGAAAACTTGAAAACCTGAAAACTCGAAAACTTGAAAACTTGCAAACTTGAAAACTCCAAAAATTGAAAAATAAAAAAATTGTCAATTGTCTGTACGCCTTCCTGTCCGAAGAACTCCAGCGTCATATGCACTTTTACAAAAGCTAAGCGCAATGAGTTCGTCGTTTTAATTTATTCAATGAATATCGTTGCACTCGCGTCGACGTAACCAAGGCAATATATTCGAGGAGACTTTAACCGGGCGTTATTTATTTGTAAGAGGCGCGTATCGTATAAGAATGTCGTCGATAGCCAACACGATTCACGGATTCAAAGTACGCTGCCGAAGGTCAGGGAAATAACTTGCCTTATTCCTACACGAATCAATCATGTTCCGTTATCGCGTTTGATTAACGGGCCAATCACGATCGCGCCTGGTCCAAAATATTTTTCTGGATTCAAGATTATGATTCGGCCCGATGACGTCCAACAATTGACATCACGGCGGTCGCTTTAACAAAACATCATGATTTGAGATATGTACACAATTGTGATTCAGAATTTCGCACGAGGAGTTTTATTGACACTTTAATTTCTTAGAGTGTCAATTGTTTAATGTTCTTCTTTCATCGTTGGTAGTACTTTGAACTTGGATGATGTTTAAAAATTTGAGTTAGATTGTTTTATCAATGAAATAGTTGACATTAATCTTTGTTAAGCCTTCTTTGTCATTAATTTTATTTCGAAATTACGAGGTATTTATGTTTAAATTATTTTAGAATTATTTATGTAAGTACATTGCTACACTATAATTTTTATTGTAATTTTAAGATAATTGGGTTATCGATAAATTTATTAACTGGCTTTGAATTTTTAATGAAAGTTTTAGTTTTGAATTTTAATGAGAATTTTTAATTATAATTCAATTCATTTTTATTTTAGTAATAATTTAAAAATGTAATTGAAATCTATTGTCGAACTAAGGAAAATTTTTTTATATTAACAAGTTATAAATTGATAGTAGTTAACTGAAGATTAACACGTATCTTGTTCTTTCAAACACTTCAACTTTGCTCCCTGCAGTTTTATTCAATATTATTCTGAACTGTAATAAGAAAATAACACGTTAAGCTGTTGCTAGTTAGAGTGTAACTTTGATATAATCAGACCATGTAATTTAACTTGAATCCTAATTTCATGCGTGATAATATGTTGATCATTCAAGAACAGAAATTAGAATTTAAATTTCTAATGTCTTCCTACAATGTTAATTAAATTTTAATATGTGCTGTATCACAATATTTACTACAATTTTTACATCAAATTTATTTTTATACAAAAACAGTGTTATTCAAAATTTATTTTTAAATGTTCTATATTTAACAATAATTAATCGCATTTATACGTCACATGTTAATTATGCTAACGTATACAATGACGTACCAGAAATATCATACGATTTGCAAGGTTGCCTCAGAATTTATAACTTGTGTAAATTTATTCTGTGTGTAAGGTGCAGGGTTGCGATTTCATATTAAATTCACAAAAATGCATTTATTGATTAAATATAGAAAAATGCATTTATTAAATAAATACAAAAAGTACATTTATTAATTAAATATATAAAAATGCATTTATTAAATAAACACAAAAAGTACATTTATTAATTAAATACAGAAAAATTCATTTATTAAATAAACACAAAAAGTACATTTATTAATTAAATATAGAAAAATGCATTTATTAAATAAATAAAAAAAAGTACAGTTCTTAATTAAATACAGACAACATAATTATTCAAAAAACATACATTAATTAAAAATATTAAATATATTCATCACTGCAACTATAAGTGTAAGAGCCTCTAAATGATCCTTACTAAAAATTCATATTTTTAACTAATTTTTCATTTTTCATTTTAATAAATAAATAATTTTAAACACTTCTTCCAATCAGTCTCAAAAAAATATAACAGACACTCATAAAATATTCATGATTCTGATCAAGCCCATAATAATTAAAAAATTATATATTAATTACAAACTCAAACAAATTGTATATCAGTGCACTCATCAAAAAATTAATTCAACACAAAAAATTCCACAATGAAATACACACGTAACATTTATATGGAAATTTTCTCTCACAATTAGTTTAATCGTTCGTGAAGAGGTCAACTATCCTATAATTCTAGCTGAGTTGTATAATACAATGAATCAGATGGTATTAAGCTCTTGACCAACGGTGTTCTCTACGTCACTATCGTGAATCCATCGCTACGTTTCGGATCACGTTTCGGGAAAAACACGTGTCGCAATATTTGATAATCTCGATAAACTGATAAAACACTTTTATCGAAGGAAAAAATATTTTTTAATCACTATATTCATTGAAGATTGTTGTGATTCAGTGATACAAGAGGCATGTGATATCTATGTCATATAATTAGGACTAAACCTAAGGGTGCATGTATACTTAGTTTAAAATTCAAAATTAAGTTAAAAAGTAATATGAATTAGTATACATATTTATGTTTTATTTTGATGAAAATCAATGTTGATTTCAAGGAAGGTATCATCAAAATGTGTAACGTATATCTTTAACAAAAAGTGTACCTTATATGTTTAACAAAATGTCTACCTCATAATAAGAAACTTGTGAACCTGTCATTTCACCTGAACTGTCGTTTGATAATTTTACTATTAATTAAGAGAATCATAACTAAGTTAATCATGACAGAAAAATAAAATAATTTAACATGCACCTCACCAGAAATTTTATACCCATGCATTTCGATGTCGTAACACTCTGAATATTTCGAAACTGTACATTCTTGCGAGTTTAAAACAAATACCCAGTAAAACGAACGCACACATTATGACTAATAACAATCGTTGTCGTAACGTTTAACAACTTTCCTGATTACCGAGTTAATATCGTTGACTCGCAGTTGCGAATACTTCGATATGTTTTGTCGAGCATAAATTTCGATATTTGTTTCAGAAACCTGACAATCACTCCACGCTGAAGTCGATAAGGAACGGAGGTGCAGCTGCAGATTTACGATCGAACTTTTCGAACCTGGTACGACGAAACGAGTTCATTCAGTAAAGTGTTCGATACGGTGTTTGTGTGTTTCTTTCTGTGAAAAGTGATAAGTTGCGTGACAAAAGAGGTTTGCAGTTTCGGTGGAAAATGATTTAGAAATTTCCGAAGTTTCGATATTCGAGACACGGTGAAATAGTAATAGTACAATTTGTGTAATTGGTGATATAATTTATTCAAAATGCATTCCTCACGAGCAAGGCATTCGTTGATGAGGTACAGGAACGTGCTGCAAGTGTACAAGGTTTCCTCCAGAAATTTTGGCACCGATGTTCAGTACAAACCGATCAGAAGCGTTCTCGTTGCTAATCGAGGTGAGTTTTATTTTAAAGAATTTCTTATGCTACTCAAAAGGCAACTACCTTGGTCTACTTACCGTGATTTCTTTTTTGCACTTTTTCTTCAGAGAAAACTGTTTTTATTCGGTGTCGTGAAACAGCCTTCGAATCCATGTTAAATTTCTTTATTACATTATGGACAATATTTTCATTTTTTTTTAAATTTCGTTCTGTTTGGCACGAAAATGATATACATTTAACAAGGATATAATTCAAAAACATATCTTGATCGATTACCAATAACATCATCTGTTCATCTTCATAATTTAGCTTGTGGACACCTGTGCACACATGTGAATGCTAATATATAAATCAGATAAACATACATGTACACATGTGCACATATAAACACATACATGTACACATATGCTCATGCACATGAATAAACTAGATAAGTATGTATAAATATATATACACACATGTATATACATATAAACATACATGATGTATGATCATGTACATACGTACATATGTGAACACATGTAGACATACATGAACATATACGAACTAGACAAATACACCTAAACATCATATGTGAAAACACTTAAATTGTATGTCAGTATATGTAAAGGTTTATAAACATACATTAAATACACACATCTACGTATGTGTCCATACATGAACTAGATAAACGTCCACATATGTGAACACATGTAGACATACATGAACATATACGAACTAGACAAATACACCTAAACGTATATAATCATATGTGAAAACACTTAAATTGTATGTCAGTATATGTAAAGGTTTGTAAACATACATTAAATACACACATGTACGTATGTGTCCATACATGAGCTAGATAGATGTCCACATATGTGAACATACATAACATGTGTAAATATACATGAACATATATAAACGTATAGGTATAAATATACATTGACATAAACATACATGAGCATATATTGCCATGAACCTACATGAGCTAGATAAACGTCCACATATGTGAACATACATAACATGTGTAAATATACATGAACCTATATAAACGTATAGGTATAAATATACATTGATATAAACATACATGAGCATATATTGACATGAACCTACATGAGCATACATTGACACACATAAACACACATGAGCACATATGAGCACATATGAGCACATATGACAGAAACTTAAATTGCATTTGTGTTTCATAACTCGTCAGCCCATTACATAAATAGTGTACCACTTTTGATAGTAACAGTATTTCTAAAAATAATAAATCACTATCTCCATGACTCAAACCCTTCAACACAGTCGATACTCCAAATACATAATACATAGCGTTTACATCGTAAGTGTCGCACAGTTAATTTTCCTTTCTAGCATCTCTAATTTAGTTCTAACGATACGAGCACACAGTCTAAAAGTAGTTTCTCAATAGAAGACGACATTGACCTCACAAACTGTTCAACGAGGTGGTTAGTATAGAGTATGATTATTCAGTTCACGACCTTTGGCAGCGGCTCCCAAGAGACGTAAATTGCAAGACCAACACGATGGACTAACGAACCGAACCGAGACGAACGATAACGAGAAACGTTGCAATGCGTGCACTATTGTGTCTGCCTCTGATAACGATGTTTAATACTGGGTCAATACCGTAACCTAAGTTTTGTACTTTGTAGTGTTATCGATGGAATCTTTGTGTGGTTGTAAGGGAAAGTTCCGTTATTTGTAGCAGATTCTTAACTGGATCTTAGGATGTGGATTTGAAGTTAAAGTGGATGTGGATTGGATTTGGAACGATGGGATTTGGGTTAGATGTGGAATTGGATTTTAGGATTTAGGTACACTAGGTACACTAGGTTTGGGTAAGTTTAGGTACACTAGGCTTTGGGGTTTGGATTAGAGCCAAATGTGGATTGTAGGGTGTGGATTAGATCCAAATCTGGATTAGAGAGTAGGGATTAGATCCAAATTTAAACTTTAGGGTTTGCGTTAGTTCCAAATCTGGAATTTAGGAATTGGATCAGATCCAAATCTGGACCTTAGGATCTGGACTGGGTCTAAATCTGGAATGTAGGAATTGGATCGGATCCAAAACTGGACCTTGGGATCTAGACTGGGTCCAAATCTGCAATTTAGGATTTGGATCAGATCCAAATCTGGACCTTGGGATCTAGACTGGGTCCAAATCTGGAATTTGGGAATTGGATCAGATCCAAATCTGGACCTTGGGATCTCGATTGGGTCCAAATCTGGAATTTAGGAATTGGATCAGATCCAAATCTGGACCTTGGGATCTCGATTGGGTCCAAATCTGGTATTTGGGAATTGGATCACATCCAAATCTGGACGTTGGGATCTAGACTGGGTCCAAATCTGGAATTTAGGAATTGGATCAGATCCAAATCTGGATCTTGGGATCTCAATTGGGTCCAAATCTGGAACTTAGGAATTGGACCAGATCCAAAACTAGACTTTAGGATCTGAACTGGGTCCAAATCTGAATCTTGGAATCTGGATTGGATCCAAATCTGGACCTTAGAGTCTGGAGTATGGATCTACATCCACAACCTAATTAACACTCCTATAGTCTTCATTCCCCCATTAATTTAAGCGGCATCCCGTAGTACATTCTTGTAACTCACATTGTCTAGTAACAAAATGGAAATAGAATAGTACAGAATAACAGTCTAGCAAATGTAGAATGACAAATGCTTCATTTTGATTATCAAGAACGATTAGCTAACCCGACAACAATGTATTTGATCAAACGCATGTTTGTCTTGCAACGTGCAATTAAACAACGTCGCAACGTTCTCTTCATAGTTACTTTTTGTCTTTTTTAGAGAATACTAATGAGCAATTTCTGTACTCATTTATATTAAGAGTCCCGAGTTACGCGATACACAATCACTATAATTAATTAACAATAATTGGTACGAGATTAATTGTTTACAAAAGAGGTGTATTTAAAATTAATTAATTCGGTATAATTAAAATTATCATCGTGTGTTTACAAAAGATTCTTGATACATTTTCAACACTCTTTACATATCACTTCGTAATAAACATCATTATTCGTATTTCTGTCGAATATAATTAGAAGCACAAAATGAGTTGTTAGCTTTTCTATTTTTAGCGTAGAACACGAAACTTCAGGAACGCATTCATAAATTTTACGGTAGATCAATAATACACTCAGTGGATAGCTGTATTTCGTGAAACAAGGCCGAGGTATTAAATCACAACAAGAAAACTATATTTCTTTTTTTTCAATTTCTGCGTTGGATCAACTAAGCACTCAATCGCATATTTTGCATTCAGGCTTCAACTATTAATCTGCAAATTCTTGTGCAGTATCATATGATATAAATATAATAAAATTTAATATAATATATAAATCAACACAATGAGTATAATATAACGTAATGTACTATATTCATCACAGTGCACTTAATAATAAAAACAGAGCAAGTCCACTATTAAACAAAATTTCATTTCCCATATTTTTTACATTATTATATTTCATGCGACTAAAAATTTGCGTAAGTTCAATTTTTATGAAAACTTGCTCCACTTTCATCAATGAACCACTCAAACAAACAGTATAATATGAATTAAACATTATCGTAATAATTACATAAATATTAAATAATATTAAATATTAAGTATTAAGTATAATATTAAATATTAAGTATTAAGTATAATATTAAATATTAAGTATTAAGTATAATATTAAACATTAAATATTAAGTATAATATCAAAGAATAATTTTATTATATCACAGGTGAAATCGCCATCCGTGTGTTCCGAGCATGTACCGAACTGGGTATCCGTTCGGTGGCCATCTACTCCGAACAGGACAAGATGCAAATGCACAGACAAAAAGCCGACGAAGGTTACATGGTCGGCAGAGGGCTTCCACCTGTTCAGGCCTACCTGAACATTCCAGAAATCATCCAAGTGGCGAAAGAGAACGACGTAGATGCTATTCACCCAGGTTATGGCTTCTTATCCGAACGATCGGATTTCGCGGAGGCGGTGATTAATGCTGGGATCAGATTCATCGGTCCTAGCCCCAAAGTTGTGCAACAGATGGGAGATAAGGTAAATATTCGTTAAAATTTACTAATAGCGATGACAAACTATGAGTTGGGGGAAGAGGCTGAGCATATTTGTGCGAAAGCAGTTGTCATTATTATTCAACATTGTTAGGTGGCCGCAAGAGAAGCTGCGATACAAGCTGGAGTGCCGATTGTTCCGGGGACAGATGGACCAGTGACCACGTCAGACGAGGCGATGGAGTTTTGTATGAAACATGGTCTTCCGGTCATTTTTAAAGCTGCTTATGGAGGCGGTGGAAGAGGTAACATTTTCAGATTTTAACCCTTTGCGTTCGAAAGGTGACTCACAGTCACCATTATATTTAATACAATAATTTTTAACTGATACTATAACATGACATGTGTGATGTATAAACATAGCGAAACAAACAATAGTGGAAATTATTAGTAAAGAAATAATAACCTCAAGAAAATTCATTTAACTTTTTAACTAAATTTTAAAGTTGCTGTTTGTGAACAGTCAAATTACCTTCGACTACGAAGGGTTAACATTAAATAGTTTAGTAAATATTTCAACCTTTAGATGCATCAAAGTGCAACGCAGTGATAGTTTAAACTCAAGCTCAAACCCTTTGATTCTCACTGTAATACATTTTGAAATATCGAAGATCTTATTTAATGTACGAAAGATTATTAGAATATGCAAATTGAACCATGAATCATCCACATGAAAATTTGAAAATGTTTCAAAAATTGAAAGTAACTTATCAATCATGAAATTAGAAAATTTGTAAAAGTTCAGTATATACGTATAAAAAAATTGGTGCTGATATAAATATTGTTATTCCAGGAATGAGGGTTGTGAGGCAAATGGAAGAAGTGCGAGAGATGTTCGACCGAGCGTCATCGGAGGCAAAGGCTGCTTTCGGCAATGGTGCGATGTTCATTGAGAAATTCATTGAAAGGCCAAGGCACATTGAAGTCCAATTGTTGGGAGATAACGCTGGCAATGTGGTTCATCTTTACGAACGTGATTGTTCTGTACAACGTCGTCATCAGAAGGTCACTATGTTAGAACTAACCAGCATTCTTAGATGGTCATTCACACGTGAAATTGTTTTGCTTCTTCCTTCATTCGCTGTGATTGCGTACCTAGATTTTTATACTCCTACATCTTTATATTCTCAGATTGTTAGAATTCCAGATCTTCATCCAGATCCTCATATTTCATCCCCGGATTCCACATTGATTCAACGTTGCCTACATTATTCTACCGTCATAGTGAACGACGAGATTTAATTAGTTTGTCGAATGCAGGTCGTCGAGATTGCTCCTGCGCCATGTTTGGACACCAAAGTCAGAGACAAAATGACGGAGCACGCTGTACGACTGGCTAAACACGTCGGATACTCGAACGCTGGCACCGTCGAGTTCTTAGCCGACGAAGGTGGGAACTTTTACTTCATCGAGGTCAACGCTAGACTTCAAGTCGAACATACAGTAACGGAGGAAATCACTGGGTAAATAGAAGTACATCTAGCAATTGATCTCTGCTTTCAAACGTCGACTGTGTTGAAATGAAACTGGGAAAGTAGTCCACAAAGTCCAGTGATCTATGAATTATGAAACTTCAAAATAATGCAATTAAGTTTACGAATGGTACAAATGTAAAAACTTGTAATAACTTTTCCAGAATCGATTTGGTGCAATCGCAAATCCGAATTGCCGAGGGTATGACGTTACCAGAGCTGGGTATGACCCAGTCAAAGATCGTTCCTCAAGGTTCCGCTATTCAATGTCGTGTGACCACGGAAGACCCCGCGAAGAGCTTCCAGCCGGATACTGGAAGAATCGAAGTGTTCCGTTCTGGAGAAGGTATGGGTATCCGGTTGGATGGTGCGTCGGCGTTTGCTGGTGCGATCATTTCACCCTACTACGATTCTCTTCTTGTTAAGGTAAATCTCTTCTAGTTAACGTTCATTTTTTATTATTTTAAAACGTTGACTGCCACAATAAAAATTGAGGTGTTTGGTCAAACTATGACGTACATAGATTATTGAGAACAAGGGTGCTTCTGTATGCAAGGGTTATTCTTTCAATTTCATCTTTAATTTTTATGTATACATATAATATATATTATTTGTTAAAGTTAATACAAAGGTTAATCTTCCAATGTCATGCATATATAATATGTATATCTAAAGGTAAAGATGACATTGAAAGGTTAACCCTTTGAAGCACCTTTGATCTTAACCCTTTGCACTCGAAGGTAATTTGACTGTTTGCAAATAGCAACTTCAAAACTTAAAAAGTTAAATGAATTTTAGTGAGGTTATTATTTCTCTACTAATAATTTCCACTATTTTTTGTTTCATTATGTTTATACATCACACGTGTCATATTATAGAATCAGTTAAAAAATGCTTATTTCAAATTATTTTATTAAATAAAATGGTGACTGAGAGTCACTTCTCAAAGGGTTAATAATCTATTATATTTGTGTTATAGTATTTGACCAGAAAATCAATTTTTACTGTGGCAACGTGTTAACATAGCAAAAATACATATATATTTGTTGTACCAAATCTTCATATTCTATATATAATCTTTGGATTTCATCTTTTGACCTATTAATGCATATCATTGTATTAAGAGTCCTCAAAAGTTTCTTTCATTTCCTTTTCCTGTAAACAATTTAACTGAACTTGCACTGTCGATCACATGTGACCATGGCAGTCAAGAGATCAGACATGAGATGTTAAGCTAGTTCATCTAAGCGTCACCTAATTTGATAAATAATAATTTTTGTCGACAGGTGATAGCTCATTCAAGCGATCTACAATCCTCCTGCGCGAAGATGAATCGTGCTCTCCGCGAGTTTCGTGTTCGCGGTGTAAAAACCAATATTCCGTTCCTGTTGAACGTATTGGAGAACCAAAAGTTCCTGAGCGGTAACGTGGATACCTACTTCATCGACGAGAACCCGCAGCTCTTCCAATTCCAACCGAGCCGTAACCGCGCGCAGAAATTGTTGAACTACCTCGGTTCCATTTTGGTGAACGGTCCCAGTACTCCACTGGCAACGCCGTTGAAACCCGGCGACATAAAACCACACATTCCCCAGATCGCGTTAGGTATGGTATTGAAATCGGGTGGAAACGTCACATCTCACTACTGTCGACACAACAATCGCACTGTGGACACTTTCTCACTTTTTGAACTTGTGAAGATGGGGTGTGGTTGACGAACTGGAAGCACGAGGGATGCTTTTAACGCCGTGAATTAACCCTTTGACTATGTGGGCTATGTGGAAAGATATGTGAGGAGAATTGGGGTATGAGGGCAGTTTTAGTTGTTAACTATTGATGTGTTACTTTTAGTTATTTATAGTTGCGGGATATTTTATTTAGTAATTTGGTTGATAGATATTTTTAGGTAACTTCCTTGATATTTTAAATAATAATTTGATTAACAACTAAATAGTTGTTGTCAAGGTAATTTATACTTAGTTAATATTTTAGGTGGAACCTTGATTAATTTTTAAATAATTGACAGTCAATCAATATTTCAATTAATATCTTGAATAATGACTATTGTTATATACCTTGATCTGTATTTATATAATATTTTAATTCTTACCCTGATTAATAGCTATTTCCAGATAACTTAATTTATACTGAACCAGTATTTTAATCAGTACCTTGATTAATAGCTATTTCCAGATAACTTAATTTATACTCAATCAATGTATCAATTACTACCTTGATTTTAAGCAGCTTCTAGATAACTTGATTAAGAATTATTTTAACATAGACTCCTTCATAAATTTAATAATACAAGTGATTTGTTTCAATAGCCTGTTATAAAAAGAAAAAAGTAATGAGTTTGCATATGTCAAAGGTGAGCAGTAGTCAAAGGGTTAAATGTAAGGGATTAGATAGTTCTCTGTCTTTCTATTTATTCTAAAGGGTGTCTACTAACGGGATCTTGTACTTACTGCACTCAGGAAGTATCAGCTTAAAAATATTTGTGTGGGTAAATGTTCAACTTTGCATTTCTTCATCCCTTCAATGATAGCTGCACAGGTTAATTTTTAGGTTAATGCACGATGAACATGGTTACATAAGGTATAATAGTAGACACCCGTGTGGGTTCACAAAAATTTTCTACGCTTCCTGGGAAAAATTGCAAGGGGTCCACGATTAGAAATTTTATGTTGCACTTCTCAACAAATCTCTTTACTGCACATATTTCATCTTTCAACACACTTTCCTCTTTTTTTGAAAATATTTCATGGTATGGTGTTCTTTTATTATACCCTTAAATACCTGTTTATAGTACGGTGATAAAAATGATTCAATAACGTTTTATTAGTGTGTCTATTAATTTATAAAAAGAACTCGATGTTATTTTGTCTTTTTGTGAACGTTTCGTACCTTCTTTTTTATTTTTAGATGTAAATGACCTCTCGTAATTACATCTAATCGTTTATCGCATGCTTTTATCTTTTCGTTTGGCAATTTTTTTTAGACTTTGCTAAGCTTGCAGCTGCTGAAGAGAACAATGATCCGGACCAACCAGGTATGAATGTTATTTTTTTCATTTTTATTTTGGTTAATTATTGAGGCACTTTATTTTGATGTGCTATACAGTTGCAATTTAAAGTGGAGGAAAGGAGAGGGGTTGTTGATTTTAATCTTTATTTGCAATCTTTTTGCTATTTTTATGACTATTTTTCTGGTATGGGTTTTTTAACTATGTAATACAAGAAACAATCTTGTATTATTTTTCTACGTAAATAAGGTGTGTGGGTCATTTTTATTTTTAATATAAAACTTGAGTAATGGTTAATTTTCCTGAAAATTGAGGTAATGTACCGATATCTTTAAGCAATATTTAAATTAATAATTGGAGACATTACATTGTTACTTGGAGCGACAATTTTTGTTTAAATTTATCGCAAAATTTATTTACACTAAATTCGACACAAAATTCGATATTGGAAACTGGATAACGAAAGGTACAAAATTATACAATTGGATATACTTATTGTGGTACTAATTAAACTAATACACAGATGTTATTAAATTGTGTCACTTTATTTTTCATTGCTTTTGTCGTAGTAATTAATATTACTCAATACAATAAAATGTAGTTAAAATATTATATGTGCAGGGAGTCGAAAATTAGATAAAAATTCTGTGGGTTAGTAACAACTATTGCATGTCCTTAAATTTGTTATTTCTCTTTGTCTGTTACTACTTTCAAATTCAATTGCTATTTCTAAATTTTTAAATTTCCTAATTTTTCAGATTTCCAAATTTCCCAAGTTTCAAATTTCTCAAGTTTCAATTTTCCCAAGTTTCAAATTTCTCAAGTTTCAATTTTCCCAAGTTTCAAATTTCTCGAGTTTCAAATTTACCAAGTGTCAAATTTCTCAAGTTTCAATTTTCCCAAGTTTCAAATTTCTCAAGTTTCAATTTTCCCAAGTTTCAAATTCCTCAAGTTTCAATTTCCCTAAGTTTCAAATTTCTCAAGTTTCAATTTTCCAAAGTTTCAAATTTCCCAAGTTTCAAATCTCCCAAGTTTCAAATTGCTCAAGTTTCAAATTTCTCAAGTTTCAATTCTCCCAAGTCTCAATTTTCCCAAGTTTCAAATTTCCCAAGTTCCACATTTCCCAAATTCTCCACATTCCCATATCTCTCAACTAACTTCCCCTAACCTCTCAACTATTATTACTCCTCTCATCATTAATTAACCACTATCTCAACTCTGTAAACACCTTAACTTCCCACTTAAAATCTTTCTACAAACTTCATTATCTCTTAACAATATTTAATTCTTCATGGTATCTCAAGATTCAATGCGTGCAAGCTTACTAACATCAGCACGAAAGCTTACCACAATACCTCCCCCTTCAAAATCTTCAACAAACCCTCAATTTTTCAGACGTTCTGGAACCACCCAAGGGCTTCCGTCACATCTACAAGGAGAAAGGACCTGAAGCTTTCGCCAAAGCCATCAGACAGCACGACGGGTTGCTTCTGATGGACACCACCTTCCGTGACGCACATCAGTCTCTCCTCGCGACTCGCGTGAGGTCGCACGACCTTCTGATGATCTCACCCTTCGTTGCTCACAAGTTTAACAACCTGTATTCTCTGGAGAATTGGGGAGGCGCCACTTTCGATGTCGCACTCAGGTTCCTTCACGAATGTCCTTGGGAACGATTGGAGGATATGAGGAAGGCGATACCTAACATTCCTTTCCAGATGCTCCTCAGAGGCGCGAACGCTGTTGGGTACACTAATTACCCAGATAATGTTGTCTACAAGTTCTGTGAACTGGCTGTGCAGACTGGAATGGATATCTTCAGGGTGTTTGATTCGTTGAATTATTTACCCAACTTAATTCTTGGTAAGACACGTTGGTGATACAATATTTTGATACAAGCATTTTGGAATAGTTCAGTTGTGTAGACAGTCACAGACAGTAAGTCACTTTGTGAGGTCCCAAATATTTACTTGATCTACATGTCTCATGACATGACTTTAGTTAGAATAGTTATTCTGGAACATGGGCACACGACAAAATTAACTGAACCATAATTTGACTTCAACTTTGTTAGGCCCCAAATGTTCAGATCCACATGTCACATGATATGATTTTTATTAGAACAAGTATTCTTGAACATAGACAGATAGTAAATCATAGTTTGACTCTAATTTTGTTAAGCCCCAAATGTTCAGATCCACATGTCACATGATATGATTTTTATTAGAACAAGTATTCTTGAACATAGACAGATAGTAAATCATAATTTGACTCTAATTTTGTTAAGCCCTTAATGTTCAGATCTACATGCCACATGACATGATTTTAATCAGGACAGTTAGTCTGGAACATCTTCAGTCATCAAATCTTAATTAGACATTAACTTTGTTAGGCACCAAATGTTCAGATCCACATGTCACATGATATGATTTTTATTAGAACAAGTATTCTTGAACATAGACAGATAGTAAATCATAGTTTGACTCTAATTTTGTTAAGCCCTTAATGTTCAGATCCACATGTCACATGACATGATTTTAATCAGGACAGTTAGTCTGGAGCATAGGCAAATAGCAGATCTTGATTAGACTTTAACTTTGTTAGACCCCAAATGTTCAAGTCTACATATCATTTTAATTGCAGTAGTTATTGTGGATCATAGGTAGACAGCAAATAGATGGACTTATTGTTTGACTTACAATATTCAGAATCCACATATCACTTCAGTTAAAATAATTATGCTGGTGAAATCACTTTATGAAATGATCTTAACTTCGTTGGGTCAAATGTCCAACATCCACATGTCACTTCAGTTAGAACAGTTATTTTAGGACCTAGATAAATGAACAGTAGTAGGTGCACTTTAACATTAGATTCCATATATTCGGCACCCGCATATCATTTCATTTAGAACAGTTCTGGAACATAGACAACTAGCATATTTGCTAGTTAGGTTCGATCTATTGATGTACCTTAACTTCATCATCAGCTTCTACAGCAAACGTCATTTCTTCCAGTCGACAAATATCTTCTGAAGAAAATAAAAGAAGCTAAGAATTAACAATGTTAATGTTCCAAACAGGTATGGAAGCAGCCGGCAAAGCAGGAGGTATCGTAGAGGCAGCCATTTCGTATACCGGAGACGTAAGCGACCCAAACAGGCAGAAGTACGACCTGAAATATTACACGCAGCTGGCGGACGAGTTGGTGAAGGCTGGTACCCACGTTCTGGCGATCAAAGATATGGCGGGTCTTTTGAAACCGAAAGCTGCCTCGATGCTGATCGATGCTATCAGGCAGAAACATCCTGATGTACCGTTGCATATCCACACTCACGATACTGCGGGAGCTGGAGTCGCGTCTATGTTGGCTTGCGCTGAGAGTGGAGCTGATGTGGTTGACGTTGCTGTTGACAGCATGTCTGGAATGACTAGTCAGCCGTCTATGGGGGCTATAGTTGCCTCCCTTATGGGTAAGTTACTTCATACACTAGATGTTTATTTAGTTATTGTATATTTCTGAGGAGCGGTGGATTTCATGTGGAGTCTGAGGTGATTGTTAGGTGGAGTCTTAGGTGATTATTATGTGAAGTCTGAGATGATTGTTATGTGGATTTTATTTGTTAGATTAGTGTGGAAAGAAATGTGATGAAAAATTTGATGAAAAATTTACATAAATATGTGATGAACAATGTAATGAAAAATGTGATAAAAAATTTGATGAAAAATGTATTGAAAAATGAGATGAAAAATGAGTTGAAAACTGTGATGAAGAAATATAAAATGAAATGTAATCATTGCCAAAAATTTCTGACAAAAACTTCAAAATTACAGGAACCAAGAAAGACACCAAGATTAATTTGGACGACGTGTCAGAATATTCCGCATACTGGGAACAAACGAGAACATTGTACGCACCATTCGAGTGCACAACCACCATGAAGTCCGGAAATGCTGATGTGTACCTGAACGAAATCCCTGGAGGACAGTACACGAATCTGCAGTTCCAAGCTTACTCGTTGGGTCTGGGTGAGATGTTCGAGGACGTCAAGAAGGCATACAGAGAGGCTAATTTGTTGCTCGGCGATATCATCAAAGTTACACCGAGTTCCAAGGTCGTTGGTGATCTGGCACAGTTTATGGTTCAGAATAAACTGACGTCTGATGATGTACTGAACAAGGCTGAGGAGTTGTCTTTTCCGAAATCGGTTGTTGAGTTCCTACAGGGCGCCATTGGAGAACCTTATGGAGGATTCCCGGAGCCGCTGAGGTGCTTTTCTTGTTGCATAGATTTAGGGGTTTGAGGAGTTGGAGATTTGGGGATGTGGGGATTTGGGGATGTGGGGATTTGGGGATTTGGGGATTTGGGAATTTGGGGATTTGGGAATTTGGAGGTTTGGGGATTTGAAGGTTTGGGGATTTGGAGGTTTGGAGGTTTGGGGATTTGGGGATTTGGGAATTTGGGGATTTGGG